TTTGGTGGGAATTATATCCATTTGATGTTTACATTGGACATTCTGATTGGCTCTTGATGACTGGATTTGGAAACATGAATGATTAGTGACCTTGTCAGGTTATTGGAGCCAGGATCAGGGTGTGATGATACCTAACATCCTGCTTCCAGGACAGGTCAGACTTGGACCGCACTCCAAATAAAGGAAAGGGTAGCAGCAACTGCCCAGAGTTGGTTTGCTTACTTGACTTATTGCATACTAGCACCATAGTCCAGCACCATTGTCCAGCCAGGGTGTACCTGATTTCACAATGTATCTCCACTTTCTTGGCATCTTAGTTGTTTTTGCTGCTCTAACAAAATAGCATAGACTGGGCAGATTAAACAACAGAAATTTGTTCCACAGTTCTGGAGGCTGGGAAGTCCAAGATCGGGGTGCCAGCCAATCCATCTCCCTGTGAGGGTCCTTGGCATGTCAGCTGTCCTTTTGCTGTATCCTCATGTGAGAAGTAGAAAGTGTGGGAGAGAGAGAAGGGGAGAGGAGGAAGGGAGGAGGGAGGGGGAACTGGAGGGGTAAGAGAGAGAGAAAGAAAGAGGAGGAGGAGGGGAAAAATGAGAAGGAGAAGAGGGAGGAAGTATGGGAGGGAGAGGAACAGAGAGAGGGAGGAAAAGAAAACACTAATCTTGTCCTCTTATAAAGTCACTAATCCCATGATGGGGATTCCATTTTTATGACTCATCTAAACCTAATTGCATGAAAAGTCCCCACTTCCCCAAAACCCCTCATGACACTGGGGTTAGGGTTTCAACATATGAATTTTGGAGGGACACAAACATTCAATCCGTAACATTTTGTAATGATGACTCCTTACTGAACATTGAAATTATTAATTGCATTATACTGTTTTTTTCTCATTCCCTGACCCCTGAGTTTCAACCTTCTTCCTTCTTTGCCCTGCTTTTGCTCTGAAAAGCCAACCTTAACAACTGCAACACCTGAGCACCCTAAAGCACCACCAGAAGATTAGAAGGTGGAAGGAGAAAAAAATGTGGAATTTTTTCTACTTGCTTACCCTCTTTGTGCTCTTCTGGGAATGGCTACTCCCCTCTTTGACCACAACTTCTGTTAGGCAGCTCTCTTTTCCATGACCCAGATCTCACCTGGGTATTTGCAACACTGTTTCCTTTCCTCCCTCTCAGACCTAGGGGTGGTAATGCTTCCTCCTGTTGCTAGGTCCTGAGCAACTTACCATCTCTTGTCTGTTCCCTTAAAGCAGGATTTCTCAACCTCAACACCATTGACATTTTGGGCCAAATAATTCTTTGTTGCTGCAGGCTGTTCTGGGCATTGTAGAATGTTTAGCAACATTCCTAGCCTCTGCCCACTAGATGTCAATAGCCACCACCCCAGTTGTGACAACCGAAAATGTCTACAGATACTGCCAAATGTCCCTTGAGGGGCAAAGTTATCCCCCAGTTGAGACCCACTGTCTTAAACTTACCAATATTTCTGTAAATGGTCCTTTCATTAAAAAACATATCTTTAAATATTCCAGTTGTATTATCTATTTAAATATTCCAGTTGTGTTGTCTAGGATGCAGATGAAAACATGGATAAATAATAATAGAATAAATGGAATTTATTTATGATTTATTACATGTTGATCAGAGTAAGAATCTTTCAAAAAGTGGGATCCAAAAGAAACAATGTGAAAAAGGGTAGAAGTTAGGATCATCTCAGTGGCACAACAGCCACTGGTGGTCTAAATGGTTGCCACACGGAAGCTGTGGTTTCGAACAGGGGCCACAATATAGGGAGGAGGCACATGGTCTAAGGCCTTGGTTGCATAGTGATTCCAATCAGTGCTCTCGGATTACACTGCTCAGTTTCAAATCTTCATCCTACCACATGCTAGTCCTGTGATGGTAGACATGTTAATCTCTCTCAGATAAGGTGTAGACAGTTATTTGGTGTCAGTGGTCCTTTTCTTACCTGAAAAATGGGTCTAATATTTTTCTCAGATTATTGTGAAGATTGAGTGGTATATTTTTTAAGTGCTTAGCACAGTGCCTGGTACATTGTAAGGTTTGCAATGATGATTGTAATAGGATTATTTCTGAATTATACATATACACACATATATACACCATACCAGGTGCACACATATTAATCATGCAGACATATATCTCAAGGTAAACAATTATTACTCATAACTAATATGTCAAATCTGGAGTTTTACTTTTAAAACATTAAACATTTTATTTCATGATACACAAATGCATAGCCCCTATAAAGACTTAAAGAATACTGTTAAATGTGTTCCTTCTCTTAAATATACCTTCTGTATTGTACTCCATTTAATTATTTTAATAGTAGCTCGAACCCTATGATATTGCCATTTTTTAGGTCAAAAACTCAAATGTTACAATATCATGTAATTCAATCTAATAGCTCCGTGTGTTTCTCTAATTTTGTTCCGTGCATTTACACACACTTACAGGTACACATGCTACAGGACTTTTAAAAACATGAATGGCACTGTAACTATGTATCTTTTTTGTTTTAGAGAGAGGATTTTGCTCTGTTGCCTGGACTGGAGTGCACTGGTATGATCCTAGCTCATTGCAGCCTTAAAATCCTAGGTTCAAATGGTCCTCCTGCCTCAGCCCCCTGAGTAGCTAAGACTATAGGAATGCAGCACCACATCCGGCTAATTATTTTTGTTGTTGAGATTATACTTAGAGTGTTGAGTTAACTTAGAGAACACTCAAGTCAGAATCTGGATACTGTCTTAGACTGAATAATCTGTCATTTATTTTTTTCCTTTTTATTAATGATGGTATTTTTTGCTTGGGGAAGAAAACCTGCTATATACAAGCAAAACCAAAACCCAGAGCACTACTACTTGTTTACACCAACTGAAAAATAGACTAAGAATGGAGACTTCTAGTCTCATAACAGACAGTCTCCTTACAGAACAACAACAACAACAACAACAACAACACACACACACACACACACACACACACACAGAGTTCTCTGTGAATATACACTTTTTAATTTGTCCACTTCAACATGTCAAGAGCTCCAGATAAAATGGGCATGCCGTAGAGCAAGGATGATAATACAGACGCACCAGCTAATTTATCATTATAAAGATAGGCAACCTACAGGCAAGTCTGGAGGGACTATAAGCTAATGAAGCTGATTTTCTGTTGATTGGGAGCATGTTTGGGGTCAGTGAGGATTCTTCTATTTGCTTTGTGGGAATGGGATTTGCAAGGTTGTAGAGTAACTATATAGTTGACCTGGTCAGGTTTTGATGGGGTTATCCCACCTGGTTAAAGGGGAATATAGCAGTTCCGGTCCTGGTAGTAAGGAAATGTACAAGATTGCTGCTTTTCCTTCTGAAGAGAAGGAGGCCTAGACAAGGAGGTAGCCAAAGATGCAGATAGGTTGTACACTCAGACCAAGGGATGTCTGCATGTATGAGGTCAGCCTGGAAAGCAAAGCCATCTGCAGGGAACAAGATGGGAGGGCAAGGTGGAGGGATGAAACATGTATTTCATGTCTACCAGGTTGAAGGCTGTCATACATCACGCCTCCCACTTCTGACAGCACTGACTGATTCCAAATCCATCCTTTACACTCAGCTCAGGTAACCCTCTTCCAGCAAGATTCCCCTTATCTCCCTATCACAGGCCAGGGGGCTCTTTTCTAGACTTTCAGAACTCTCAGTGCACATCTTTGTTACCACATTTAACTGCATTAGATTCTAAGTGTCCCTTCATGCATCTGACTCCTTCACTATGAGCTTCTCATTCATCTCAGTATTTCCAGGACAGACACAACTCAATAATAATAATAATAATAGCCATCTTTCACATAATGGATTCTGTTTCCCACATTCTCATCTATAGCTTTACATATTTGAATACATTTAGTGCTTACTAGAATACTAGGAGGGAGATACCATTAATATCCCCATACAGGTGAAGAAACTGAGGCACAGAGGAATGTAACCAAGGTTAAGTACTTGCTCAAGGTCTCCTAGCTGGTGAGCGGCAGAGATGGGTTTAAGATTTCTACTGTGTGGCTCTTACTAAAGATACAAGACTATACCAATGTAGCATCTGGGCTGAAAAATATTTAAGTAAAGGAGCAAAATGACTTATTTCCTCCTGACAATGATCCCTCAAAGGAGGAGAGCCTTAAGAGAAGAACCACATAGCCAGGAAGAGGAAAAACCTGGGTTCTCACCCATGTCTATACTCTGAAGTCCATGTTCTTTCCAGAATAATATTAATACAAATATCTGGCAAGGATATTACTGAGTTAGCTGAAATGATGGGTAAATAATCTTGACTGCATGTACCTTTGGGGAAGAAGTGACCAGAGGGACAGGCTGATGATACTGGAGTGACTAGAACCCAACCAGGCCAGGAACTATACTCTGTATTGGGTCTTTTCTAAGTAGCCTTTTAGAAAACCTCACTATTGTATTTATTTATTTATTTTAATGGAAAAGAGGTTAAACCCAGGAAGGAATTTTTCTTGAGGCTTCTTGAAAGCATGGGATGATGATAGAGAAGGATAAACTGGGTTCAAATTCTAGCTCCATATTTTTCTAGCCATGTGATCTTTGACAAGTTACTTAACTTCTCTGTACTTCGATTGTCTCAGCTTTAAAATGGGAACAATAAAAGTGAATATCCACCTTGCAGAGCTGTTGTGAAAATTAAGCAGACGAATTCATATGAAGCACTTAAGATAATCCCTAGCATATGTAAACACTCAACAAATGTTACTACTATTATGTTCACAAGCCCATGTGGTATAAGGAAAGAGCACTAGATTAAGAGTCAAGGTACTTGGTCCCAGTTCCATCTCCCTCAGTAGAGGTGTGACGTTAGCCATACCCTTCTTTTTTTCTAATCTGATTTGTTGTCAGTAACCCCCCATTTTCTTACATGTGTGATTTTATGGTAAAAGAGTTTGTAAATGAACTTCTCCTGTTTTAGGTTTATGAACATCCATACACAGAGATTGGAACTATGGAAACGGCACTGCTCTGGAGACTGTGCTGAACCAACAATAAACTGTGATGACAAGCAGGGAGCTCTGTCCCTGAGAACACCTCACAGAAAGACTGAAATCACAGCTGTCGACCTGAGAGGGGAGCAGGAGGTGAAAACTGGAAGGCACTAGTGTAAGGTGAGAGCCAAAGACGTGACACAGAGATGGGAAGACCTCCTAATGCACAGATCATTTGTTGTCTCACATGGTCTGGGTAGCTTATCATATCACCTGCAAATAATTACAGTTTTGTCTTTGTCTTCCCCATATTCATAGCTCTCCTTTTAAAATTTATTTTGTATCTTTGGGAGGCCAAGGTGGGTGGATCACGAGGTCAAGAGATCGAGACCATCCTGGTCAACATGGTGAAACCCTGTCTCTACTAAAAATACAAAAAAAAAAAAAAAATAGCTGGGCATAGTGGCGCATGCCTGTAGTCCCAGCTACTCAGGAGGCGGAGGCAGGAGAATTGCCTGAACCCAGGAGGTGGAGGTTGCAGTGAGCCGAGATCGCGCCATTGCACTCCAGCCTGGGCAACAAGAGCAAAACTCCATCTCAAAAAAAAAAAAAAAAAATTTATTTTGTATCATTTTGTTTAAGGACCTCAGTACAATTTTAAATAACCATTGTTACAGTAACCAAACGTATCCAACTTAGATGGAAATGTCAGTGTTTCAACATTAAGTATGCTGTTTATTATATATTGCAGCAGATACTAGAATCAAATTCAAAAAGGTTGGTTCTAGTGCTAATTAACTAAGTGTTTTTTTCTTTTTTGTTTTTGTTTTAAAATTAGGAGTGTATTAGTTTGTCAGGATTCTCCAGGGAAACATAACCAAGAAGATGGATGATGGATGGATAGATGTATAGATGTATGGATGGATGGATAGATAGATAGATAGATAGATAGATAGATAGATAGATAGATAGATAGATAGATAATTTTAAGGAACTGGCTTGCACCATTGTAGAAGCTGGCAAATCCAAAATCTGCAGGGCAGGCTGGAAGGTTGGAGATTCAAAGAAGACCCGATGGAGAAGTTTAAGCTTGAATGTGGTCTACTGAAAGAATTTCTTCTTCCTCTGGGGAGGTCAGTCTTTTTTCTCTTAAGGCTTTTAACTGATCGAATGAGGCCTACTAATATTACAAAAGGTAATCTGCTTTACTCTAAGTCTATTGATTTTAATGTTCATTTTATCTAACAAATATCTTCACGGAAACATCTAGAATAATGTTTGACCAAATATCTGGATACCATAGCCTAGCCAAGTTGATACATGAAATTAACCATCACAAAGAGCTGGATTTTATCAAGCACATGATTAGTATGTGTTTTATGATTTTTATCCTCTGTTAATATACTTAATTTTATTAATACATTTTGAATATAGACTCAATTTGCACTCCTAAGAGAACCCACACAAGTCTTTACCTAAATATTTTTAAAGATTCAGTATATTTTATCCAAATATTTCAAAAGGTTCAAAATAACAAGTTTTCACAGGTATACCTTTAGGTATAATTTGTATGATTTTCTTTGCATTTATGTCATAATGTATATACAAAAATTTGATTATTTAATATGTCATGTTATTTTGAGATTTTGTTCTAAGACTTGCTTTTATAAAAACAAATATTGATATGTTATTGAGCTCTAAATAAATGTATTCATATAGATTTTATTTTTATTTTTTTTGAGACAGTGTTTTCACTTGTTGCCCAGGCAGGAGTACACCTTTACATCCGTATCATTTGAATCTTCAAAAATACCTTTGCATATGAACAAAGAGGCACATGGCAGGCTGTTATTATAGCTTGTATGGAAAGTAAAAAATTGGAAACAGCTAAAGTGTCATTAAGAGAGGAATACATGAACAAACACCTAAGAAATACTGGCAGCAGTCAAAATTAAGAAATCTATGCAAGCCAGGGACAGTGGCTCATGCCTGTAATCCCAGCACTTTGGGAGGCTGAGGTGGATGGATCCTTTGAGGTCAGGTGTTCGAGACCAGCCTGGCTGGTCAAGATGGTAAAACCCCAACTCTATTTAAAATACAAAAATTAGCCAGTTGTGGTAGCAGGCACCTGTAATCCCAGCTACTCAGGAGGCTGAGGCAGGAGAATTGCTTGAAACCGGGAAGTGGAGGTTGCAGTGAGCCTAGATTGTGTCACTACCCTCCAGCCTGGGTGACAAGTGAAAACTCTGTCTCAAAAAAAAAAAAAAAACAAAACGATGAATATATTTATTTAGAACTCTATAACATATTGATAGTTGTTTTTATAACAGCAAGTTTTAGAACAAAATCTCAAAATGACATGACATATTAAAAAATCAAATTTTTGTATATACATTATGACATAAATGCAGAGAAAATCATATAAATTCTATCTCTTACTTTGATGACAATTGTTACCTCAGGAGGCCATCATCAGGGAGGACTGCTATTTATCTGTTTGTTTACATTTTTTGCAATGTGAAGGTACTAATAAATTACTTGTCTAATTTAATTTTAATGCTAAAAGTTAAAAATTAAGACAATTCTTTTATCTCAAATAACAGAATTTAGTCTAGAACCCCGTGTTAACTAAATATATTAAAACTCATTACAAAATACTTGATATCATATTTAAAATTGAAATTTATATTGAAATGTTAAATGCCAGATTCTCATAACATTAATTTACAACATACAATGTGTAATCTCCAGGCAAAAAGTGAATGCATTTCATATAAGTTGATAATGGTACTTTGGTAAGAATTTTCTTTTAGTTTGGTTATAAAAGTAGATATAAGAACCTAATTTTAGCTCACATAGTAGTAATTTGAAAAGCAAAGAGATATTACTCTTTCATAAAATGTTAGCTTTGTTACAAAACAATCCCCAACATACTTGGCATTTCACCTTGGAATTTTATAGTAATAACCAAGGGAAAAAGAAAGTATAACAATATGATTTAATAAACAGGGTTTCATATAAAAAACTTACAAACAAGTAGGAATACTTCTTTAAAATTTTATTAAAGAAACCAAAATATCCTCTAGGCACTCGAGGCTGGAAATTATCTTCTGATAACTTTTATTACACTGATCAATAACATATATAGCTTTCATGAGATGGTTTCTTGCTTTTGAGAGAAAATATAACACATAAAACCAAAATAATCTCACATTTACCTTGAATCTTATGTATGAATTTAAGCTTTATTTTTAATAGAGAAAAGGGGGAAAAAAGACCTTGCCTCATGATTTGAGGGTACTGTTCTCAAGAGAATAAGCTCTTCCAAGCCAGCTAGATCCCTGGACCTGGAATCTATTACATAGGTCTACATATCACTACGTAGATCTAATAGAAACGAAGTCTCTTCTGAGATAGAATATGATTTCACCTATATTTAAAAAATTTTATTTTATTTCAAGTTCCCGGATACATGTGCAGGATGTGCAGGTTTGTTACACATGTAAACGTGTGCCATGGTGGTTTGCTGCACCTGTGAACCTGTCACCTAGGTATTAAGCCCAGCGTACATTAACTGTTTATTCTGGTGCTCTCCCTCCCACTGCCCCTGGCAGGCCCCAGTGTGTGTTCTTTCCCTCCCTGGATTCATGTGTTCTCATTGTTCAGCTTCCACTTACAAGTAAGAACATGTAATGTTTGGTTTTCTGTTCCTGTGTTAGTTTGCTGAGGATAATGGCTTCCGGCTTCATCCACGTCCCGGCAAAGGACATGATCTTGTTTCTTTTTATGGCTGCACAGTATTCCATGGTGTATATGTACCACATTTTCTTTACCAAGTCTATCATTGACAGATTTTTGTCTACATTTTTATGGCACTGAATGTGTGCCTCCTTCCACCCCTTCCATCTCACCTGATCCTCTGTCTGTAATGCCCTTCAGAATTTTCTGTTTTCTGCGTCATCATTCCAGCACCGAAATAGACTGGCTTTGTGGGTATGCAACCCATGCAGGGCACAGGACCCCATGCTCAGAACAGCCCCACATATGGTTTAATTCTCGGTGATCCCTGTCATGAAATTCTTAATAATTTTATCTTTGAACTTGAGTTTTGTCCATGAAGCCTGATGGGATGGTGGAGCATACACATGAGCAGGGGATATCCACAAAATATGAGTTTCCTTCCTTCTTTTTTCCCCTATTCACATAAAGTAGTCAAGATATTCCACGAGCACAGGATTTTGGTGGACCCATCATGAATGGCACTTCAAACTGAGTACAAGGAAAGCATCTTGAGTATAACGAAGTAAGAAGGGTGCTGATATCCTACAGAAGCCCTGATTTCTGCTCTAACCAGAACTTACCTCCAACACAGAAAGAAGGCAGTGGTGCTATAAGAAAGGTTGACAATGAAATCTTACACCCTTTTTTATCCATGTTACTTCTCTGTATTAGTTAACCATTTAACACTGAAATGGTAACAGAGAAGGCAAGGGAAAGACAGGACAACCATAGTTCCTTTCCTTCAGTCTTTCCTTACTGATCAATGAGCTGAAGATGGAAAGTGTTGACAGAATGTGTGCATGTGAAGAAGTGAAACAAAAGAAGCTCAGTTTTGTGCAGTGTTTTTTCTCTTGGCAAGAATGAAATACACACATATGTAGGAACGCTGTAATATAAATTGTGTTGTATCAGTGATTTTGCATATGAATTAAATGCTCTTAAATTTTCATTCAAAGCTGACACTGCATGACATAAAGATGAATGGTAAAATTTATGGTAAGAATTCAATTTTTTTAAAATATAGAACTTCATTAAATAGCAAGTAGAAATCAGCATAACAAGTTGAGAGACTGAGAAAAGAAAATTTTACATCTTAGTGCGATTAACATGCTTCCTCTGCTTTTTGAGCAAATGACCTCACATTTTCATTTTGCATTAAACCCTGCAAATTATGTGGTTTGCTCTGGCCCAAATGTGTCACTGAAGTCATCTTTGGTTACTGCTATTGCTCATTAAAAATTAATTGCTGTCTGTCTTTAACATCTAATTATTTAGAAACTTGTATTTAGCACTTTATTGTGTCATGCTGTTTGGAATTACAGATACTGTACACTTACCTGTAGCTACTGTTAGCTGGTATAAATTTATCCCAGATGTCACTTGTGGATCACCTACATCAA